CATAAGTTATGGCTTTTAAATATACCCCCTAAAGTGAATCATTTTGTTTGGAGTATTTTCAAAGATATTTTGCCAACTAGAGTAAGACTCTTTTTGAACAAGGTATTAATGTAGACATGCTTTGCTCTGTCTGCTTGGGTATAGAGGATGCTGACCATATCCTATTACATTTCCACAAAGTAATGGATGTTTTGGAGTCTTGTGGTTTTTTCATTATTAATCCAAACATTTCTTTTAAAGATTATTTTTTGTAGATACTAAATTCCTCTAATATTGAAAAGGCTTCAACTTCGGCTATTGTCATATGGAAGATTTAGTATTGCAGAAATCAATTTGTGTGACATAATAATGTTTTGTCTACTCATGCTATATGTGAAGACATTATGAAAACTATTAATGATTGGAAGCACATGTCCCATATACCACACGTAGCATTTACATCTTATGGCAATGTTATTCCTGTATTTCGAGGACTCAACAATAGTACTGATGTGTGGCAATTGTTTGTGGATGGTGTTTGTTTTAACCATCTTCATACATCAGGCTTTGGGGCGATAATGGAGGATCAAGAAGGTCATTTGATTAAGGCAATTTCAAGTTATGTCCCAGAGTGTTATGATGTTATGCTTTGATTGTGGAAGCTAAGGCTCTTCAACAAGTTTTGCAATGGGTCTCTTCTTTTAGCACTGAAAAAGGCTGTAGTTTTATAGACTCTCAAACATTACTTTATGCTCTTTGCTCTAGTTATGTTGATGTTTCCCCTTTAGGTCTTGTGATTGATGATTGTAAAGTTATTTTAGCTAATCATTTAGATATATCCATTCGATGGATAAGGAGACAAGCCAATGTAAGGTCTCATTTACTAGCTCGAGACTCTTACAATCATGCTAAGTTTCTATGTTTGGAAGGGTATACCTCCATGTTTGTTATCTTTTTATGGTTTTTAATGAATTTGATCATAAATTATCAAAAAAAAAAAAAAAGAATCATAAGATTAGAGACTTTATGGTTAGTTTAACTATAATTTAAAGATCAATTTTCCAATTAATTGACGATAAAAAGGAACTACTTTTAACAAAATGATAAGTGTTAATGTAATAATAAATTAGGAACCTTATAATTAGTTTTTAAAAATAGAAATTCTCATACATTAAATTTAATTATAAGTTAGGAACCAATTTATAATTGTTTTTCTAAAGATAAACAAATGACAAAATTACCGGCATCAAAGAAGGCAATCAACACTAACAATGCAAACAATATAATGGGAAAATAACCACCACTACTATTACATGACTTATTATTAATAGACTCATAGATTCATGTCATAAACAAATTGACCCATTTATAACATAAATTAAAATGAATTGTGTAATGGTTAACTCATAAGCTTATTTGATTATGTGTCATGTTGGATTATATCAAACCACATTAATCCATGTCATATATTATAATATTAGGAATAAAACAGTCATATACAATACGTATTTAATATTATAGGTTATGTAATTACGTTACATTTTATGATTTGTATATGATCCATTTAATTGAATATGTTATACATATTACATGTAATCTATTTAAATTTCATATTACGTTAGAGTTAAAATATTTGACACAATTAATAAATGGATTGTATTCGTATTAGCTCTTATCATATAACATTTCAAGTCAACCTAACACCAACCATCAACCCATTTTTACATCCCTCAGCATTAGGCAGTAGCACAAAAACAACTCACATATGTATTTACTCTATAAGGAAATATCACAACTACTTATGGAAGTTTGTTTTTCATATAAATAATGTAGAAAATTCCATATGGCGAATTATTCCTATAATTAAAATCCAATAGACTATCAATCAAGTGTAGTCTAATTGATATATTTATATTTTATAAAAAAAATATAAATAGAAGGTCTCAAGTTTAAGTTCTCTCCATTACAAAAGTTTATCATCAATTTAATGAATGTTAGTCGCAGAGAGGTTACATGTACTGTGTAATATTATTCTAGTTAATTAGATTTTTATTCTAATTAATTGGTTCTTCCGTGTAAAAAAAAAAAAAATAACGAGTAACAATTATTATATCATAATAAAAACGTGTAACCTCTACTAATTCGCTCAAAGTTTTGGTTTTACACAATCTCTAGACCTCAATGCTTCCACGTATATATATTTATATATACCAAGTGTCACGAATCTTCACGGATTTATAAATAATGGAATTCTAAACATATGATACAAACATAAGTGTTACATACTCTAAAAGATTAGCTTTTCTCCGAGCTTTTTCCGGAGAAAGTAATGGCCTTGTGACAAAATCGTATTAGCGCCATTCGAACCCAACTCCCATGTCTCACCAACCATTATAAGGTCCACAACTCATAAATTCAATCTCATACTTTACATAAATAAAAAATAAAAGATTTCTTGGTACCTTCAATTTTTATATTGAAGGTTACATGTACTGTGTAATATTATTCTAGTTAATTAGATTTTTATTCTAATTAATTGGTTCTTCCGTGTAAAAAAAAAAAAAATAACGAGTAACAATTATTATATCATAATAAAAACGTGTAACCTCTACTAATTCGCTCAAAGTTTTGGTTTTACACAATCTCTAGACCTCAATGCTTCCACGTATATATATTTATATATACCAAGTGTCACGAATCTTCACGGATTTATAAATAATGGAATTCTAAACATATGATACAAACATAAGTGTTACATACTCTAAAAGATTAGCTTTTCTCCGAGCTTTTTCCGGAGAAAGTAATGGCCTTGTGACAAAATCGTATTAGCGCCATTCGAACCCAACTCCCATGTCTCACCAACCATTATAAGGTCCACAACTCATAAATTCAATCTCATACTTTACATAAATAAAAAATAAAAGATTTCTTGGTACCTTCAATTTTTATATTGATCTATTAAACATTTTTATTAAACATTTTAACTTATAAAATTGTATAAATTCAATACTTCAATTTACAAAAGTTATTCTATTGAATACTCAAATTTATAACTTATAAATTTAAGTCAATTAAATACTTACTCGATAGTTGAAAAATATAAAAATTATTATTTTAAAAATTGTACTAACCACATATCAAGTGAATATTTTACATATAAATACTAAAAACACTAAAAAATTATTATTTCTGATATGTCGATATGTCCAGTGTTATCAAAATTTATAACTTTAGGGGCATAATAGACCCCTCACAGAATATTAGGTGGCACAAGGCTTTTCCAGTCAAGTACAAAGGTAATTTCATGCATTTGGCCATTCGAGTTAAGTTTGTCCAATCAAGTTACACCGGACCTTATTAAACTTGTAAATGAGTAATGAGTTTAGATTAAGCAATCAACTGTTAACTTCATACGCTTCAATTATAGAGTTTAAACCGTTCAATCAGGTTGCATTAACATATAAGTCGTCTCAAAATCTTATACTTCTATCTTAATTAACCCACATAAGAGTCACAATATCTATTTTAATCAAATGAAAAAGCTTTACGTACATTAATCCCTAAAAGCCCACACGCAAACATTGAAACAACCAAAAATGGAAATTAAAAACAATTTTTTTTATAAAGTTAAAGCACACTCCATGGATATGAATACCAAAATCTTTTCACTATCTTCCTAAAATCTCTTCTTCCCACACGAAACCTCAATGGCTTCAACTAATACTGTCACAGAAAGTTACTGACTCAACAGCATACCATGAACCAACGAGGAACAGTAAAATGGCTTTTGCATAAAATCAAACAATATTCATTTATTAGAAAAAAAAAACAAATTAAGAAAAGAAAAAATGCAATTGAATGACGAGAGATTATGAGACAAATGGGACACAAATTACAAAGCAAACATATTCTAAAACATATCATCATGATTAATTCACTTTCTATCAAAACCAAAATTCCCTTGGTCCCACTCGGTTCAAAAAGAAAGAATAAGGTCAGACATAAGTGTATCATTCAAGAACATTGACAAGGAACGCTCACTGTATTGTCATCAAGTGATTTCAGAAAGTAAACAATCTACTTTCCTTTTCCTATCCACCATAACTTTTGCTGCCTCTCGAGGGAAATCTAAAACAAAAGGAGGGGGAGGGGGGAAATTCGAATCCATTTTTACCAAAATAAAAAAAGATATTGCAAATAAGCATTTAAAGTTTTTCTTTCTTTTTTTTAAAAAAAAAAAAAAAAGATAAATAATAATATTAATAATTCCAGAACTTCTATGGCAAAAGAGAAATAATAATTAAAGCTTTCTGTTCTGTCAACTTTAACCTGTAGACTGTAGTGTCCAACTGATATTACAGGCAGTTACCCAAGTTCTCACTTATAGTGATTCCACAAGAAATGGCCAAAACATAACAAACAATATATAGTTTCTTCAAAAGATTGAGACAAATCAACTCCAAATAAGATTAGAACTAAGTCAAAATTCTGCTTCATGATTGGTTATTTGTCAGGAAAACATAACAAATTGGTTCAAGATTAAGCAATCACAGCATCCATTCGAATAAAAAAGAGACCCTTGGCACATGAATGGTCTTGGAGACCTTGGCACGTAAGATTTGAATCAAGTCAAAATTCTGCTTCATACTTGGAGTCTTCTTACCCCAGAAGGCTAGAACAAAGAGAAGTAGTACTACTACACTTTATGGGAAATTTATAATTGCTTGATATATGTTGCTGCATACTACACACAAATTATTCTTAAATAACGTGTACCATCCACACCCTTCAAACAACTACCACAATCCCTGGCCAACATAAGCAGAACGATGAAGGGGATAGATTCAGGAGAGAAAGGGGAGCACGTAGCCTAGAAGTTGAGACCATAAATTTCCGACTATTCAGGTTGTTCAACAACAAGATTTGCTAGAAAAGGGTATTTTGGCTCAGAGTTTTCAATCAAAACAAAGTTGATAAGAAATTCATACATGTTATCTTTTAGTGATTTCTGTTCCTCAAAGTACACTACCAGCAGTTAATAATTTGATTTCATTAATGATTAATCAGGTACAATGGCAACCATCACAATCATACCCCTGGCATCGTTACCAGCTTTTTATCCCATGTTAATACTTAGATGATTCAAAAGATACAAATACAAAAATCATCTTTCCGCCCATCAGAACCAAATTCACCAAACGGTAGAGTAGGAGAATTTCAAGAGATAACTCCAAGCTGACTACTAAATTAAAGACATGGAAACAAAAATGTTCAGCAATTAACCTCTGTAGAAATGGATTGGCCATTCAACTATGACAAAGAAAACCATTCACCTTTGCAAGCACTCCATACTAGATGGGACTGAGATAATTAGCAAATCTACCTGTCATCAAAAGACAAAGGCATAAATTCCAAGATCAACATTCAAATAATATAAAAGCAATATAAAAATGGTGCCCATGGGCAAATCACCTGCTCCTGGGCATTTCTTTTTTACCCCACTAAAGGGGGAAATTTTACTAAAAGGGAGATGGCAAATAGCTCTTATCTTTCCTATTGTACAAACTAATTAACCACATCGAGGGTCATTTCTTTCAACATTATAGACAATCAATAGTGTTCCACATCCTTATAGAGAGAGATGCATTGTGTTTACAATTATGCCATTTAACTATTTAAATTATAAGAATTATACTTTTCTTCATCAACCATTGTTTCTAGGCCAACATTTGGTCCCTTGAAAGCTTGAGTGGAAGAAAAGAAGACAAATTTTGAATCATTTCTTCCTTAAATATTTCATGTGTTATATGATAGGAGTATTTTGTTTTATTGAAGCACTGTTGATAAAAAAGATCTCTTGATTCCAAAAGATCTTACCTGAAACTAGAATTACAATTTTCCCACCAACTGGAGACCTAATATTATTAATATTCTCAACAAGAATAACTACCAAGCCTCCTAGGCAAGTGCCCTAGATCTTTCATTGCATCCCATGGTTTATAGATCTAAACAAATTAGCAAGCAACATTTTCTTTTCCAAGAGAAATCCCTAGCAATTGAAGAGGGTCAAATGCTTTCATTCTTGATATGGAAAAAACTTCCAATCAAGTCTGAATGCTACAAAACCGTAATAAGGAAACATTGTCAGTAAGTTACGGAATGACAAAATTACATGTCTGATTCAACCTTTAGTCATACAGCCACAGGAAACGTAGGAAATAAATAATGAGTCAATAACAAATGTTAAAAGAGAAATTACAATCTAAGAAAAAATGGCTGCAGTCTATCATATTATTCAAAACTAAGCACCAATATGCTTAAAAGTCACTTCCAACCTCGCAAAAAGGTCCTGAAGACCTGTACTAACCACATACATATGGGCTAAAAAAATCCATCCAAACAAACTTCATTGCACGGGTACTAGCAACTAGGTCAACTAAATGAGTTGGTGAAAGGTTCTTTTCATAGCAGCACACATCTAAATCTCACAGAGGTGGAATCCTATGCATGAGATAAATAATAGAGATTCAATAAAATATTCTCTGCACTCAACTGAAACTAACACAAGTAATCATCTTAACCAAGAACCAATTAGATTTTTCCAAAACAAAAACGTGACAATCAGAAACTTCTCTTTCTTCTTATCCTCAGTTTCCAAAGAAACTGAACTCAGGGAAGTAGATACGCATATGACATAACATTCATCTTTTACCTTTTAAGGAAGTAAAAAGGATATCTTTGAATAACTATACTCAAATTAAGCCTTCCTAGAACAAATCCTCAATATACACACTATGTTTTTATCCCTACAAAGCACTTTGAACAAATACAAACCTCTAACATATCCTATAAGGTGCATATTCCTAAATGCATATGGACTTAGGTTAGAATTATTTTTTCGCGTTTTCATTGAACTTTGTGTTGCTTCGCCCAATGGTTCTCCTCATCCACAACTAGGTCATCCGAATCAATCCATCATCCAACCAAATTCATCCACACAAGTCATAAAGTCAGTGCATCAGTGCATCCCATATTCCTTTCTTCATATAATGATCAACTTCAGAACTAGTATAAAACCATCTGTCTCATAAAATTTTATTTAGAACTTTTACTCAATTAATGTGGTATGAAACTAAGCCCTGGATTACATATCTCAATCATTGATATTCACTTTCTTTTTTCGTTTAAATTCCATTTGGACCTTTGCATTAAAACAACTTTCCTAGTACTTAAGAAATCATAAGGACACCATTTAGTTAAGAAGGCATCCATAAGCCAATATTTAAAAGCCTAAAATTTTCTCAGGTCCCACTATTACAATCTGATCCCTTTTTTTTCCCAGCAAAACGATCAAAAATATGACATATTAGAAAGTTCAGCCCATTTTTTCGATGTTGCAGGTGAGTGATGGACGTTTCCTATTTAGCATCCTTAAATGGATGCCAACAATGAGAGTTATTTCATTTAAATTTCCAATCATTAAGTTGATCTAATTATCAAATTATTAAATTACTAATTTTCTCAATCATCGTAGAATAAAAGTATCTCCAATATGCATTCATTAACAATTTGATAAAACAAAAGAAACGTCGATAGAGAGAGAGAGGAAAGGACCTTCGGCAGAGGTGCTGGCTTCACTGGGAAGCTTGGAGACAAGACAAGCGGAAGCAATCACGCTATGGACAGGTAAAAGTGAGCTCAATTCTCGCCGCAAAAACCTTCCATTTTCGAATCAGCACAGGTATACACAACATTAACATAGAAGAATAAGAAAAGTTGGAGACTTGATAATGCAAAAACGAAGAAGAAGAAGAAGTAGTAGCTAACAGATAGTTACTTTGGAGAAGGAGGGGGAATTCGGGACTGGCGAAGAGTCAAATTGGGACGAGTCCAAGAGCGAATCGAAGCTGGAAGCGAAATTCTTGTCGTTGCTGAGTTTGTTGCATTTGAAGCTCTCCATACTGCACGCGTCAATGTAGACGCAGATCTTCCTGTTATTGCCCAAGTAGCCATTGTTTTAATGTTATTGCTCTTTTCGATCTCTTTGAACCCTAAAACCTCTATAAAACCCCTTTTCCAAATTCCCCATTTTCTCTATGGCGTCGTCAGATCATGAACTATGAGATATCAGGCCCATTAAAACAAGCCCAGCCTAACGAACTTACCTTCAGTATGGCTTTTCTTCTAATACAAACCAAAAAAAAAAGAGAAAAGAAAAGAAAAGATATCCATTATATTGCTAATTTTCAATTTACCATGTAAAACAAAATTCCTTTTAGTCAACATTTGAATCGAAATTCTTATTTTGTGAATCAAAAACTAAACCGAATTAAAAGATTTACTATAACTTTTCAAAATCAATTAAAAATATTAGATGTATATTTATAAATATATTTTCTATTAATTTTATAAAAAAAAAACTAAATTCAATTGCTAATCATGTGTTTATATAAGTTTCATTAGGCATGGTTAGAAAATGAAATTAAGTAAGCTTCATTAAAAACTTTTATTAAAAAAGTTTTGGCATACAAACACGATCCCAAATAAAATTTGAATAATTCTATGCAATCTTTACAAACTGCAATTGAGAGTTTCAAGACTTGCATAAGTTGGAATAGAATTAATGACAGATTTTGCAAGGATTATATGCCCTGTGATGATCTCTTCTTTTTGCTTAAAGGAAAATTGAACGGTTTCGGTTGATTTTATTTAATAGATTGGTTTTCGTCATTAGACCCATTTATTGATCTTCGGAAAAAAAACTCTTACTTTGATAAGAATTTTATTTTTATGTCGTCATCCTCTTTAGGGAAAATTCTCGAATTAATCGATTCTTTAGAATTGACTAACTCGGGTTTAAACCAAAAACTGGATAAAGGAGATAGGTATGGTATCGGGAAAGTGTTAGGCACCAGAACCGCCCGGTTTAAGCCGGCATCCTAATTGTCCATTAATTTACAACAATTAATAATAAGATTGACTTAAATTGAGGTGTAAAATCGGTTTTGATGCAATTTTTAGAAACCGTCAATCATGCATGCAATCTCATCACAAAACATGAAACAATGGATCCAAAGAAAAGAGATGAGGAGAAAAAAGTACAAATCAATATCTAATGTACAATCTACCCTCAACCCTTTAAAATTCTCAAATACTTTAATTAATTACACATAAGCAATAATAGGACCCATTAAGGTCCTTTACATTAAGCTCATAATAAATAACAAGCATTAAAGAATCAATCATCAAAGCATAATAAACACAGAAATAATAGACATACACAACATCACAAAACATACATTCATTCAATCAATGGAAGTACGGTGTGTGTTTATGTTTACAAAGCAATAGCTAATGGATCAACACAATGGAAATCATAAAGCAATAAATAAAAGTGCAAGAATTTAAAAGACAAAATAGTAAATGTGCATAAAAGGAAAAGACAACAACTTAAATGCGAGAAATCTAAAGTTTTAATCAAGAGCCTTAATGTCCATCATGAATGATGAACAAATACACTTGTCACTACCTATACCTTATTTATTGGTGCTCATTCAACCCATTTATGGTTAAAAACGCAATTCAGAATAATAAAATCTGGTGCTTAACCACTGAAGTTCTGAATTGGGTCCATTTTATTGATTTTTAGCATTCTGAACCCTTGAAATGAAGTGCTTGGGACCACAACGGAAGGGGTGTGACAACGGAAGGGTGTGCGCCGCTTGAGGTGGGGCGTGCGCCACACGTAGTGGCGCTAGGCACTTGCCTTGATTAGGGTGTTACAGAGTGAAAAACAAAACATCCTGACTATAGGAAAAGTGGAGTGCGCCACATGTAGGGGCGTACGCCACTTCTGACGCAATCAAAAGCTATTGATTATTCATAGATTTCTCTCCCAACCAATCAAAGAAATGGTGCTTTCACACCTAAATGAAAGAAAGAAAAGACGAAGGAAAAGTTTAATGGCTCTCACAATTTACCTCTTTGAAAGAATCTAAAGATTTTTGGAGGATTGAATGCAAGAACACCCAAAAGCTTGCCTCTTGAACTAAAGATCCAAGATTAAGATCAAATGTATATATTTGTGGTTTTCTTGATTAGCCGAAGGAAAGTTTTCTTGATCAATGAATAAAACCCTACATCTAAGAGGAAACACTAGTTTTCTTGAATCAAATGTTTGAGTTTTTGAAAAGCAATAGTTTCCCTTAGCTAAGCCACAAAAAATCCCCCTTTTGGCACTAATTCCAAGGCCTATTTATAGGCAAATGGGATGTGTTGCCTTAATTGTAAGGCCTAGGTGGCATGCCACTGATGGGCCCCAAAATCGGGCTAGGCCCATTTTTATTGAATTGAATCGAGTGACATACAAAATGAGGCAATGCACCAGGAAGTGCACCGATAGACTCAAAGCGCTTCTTCGGCCTGGTTTAGCTACAAAACGCCTAGTAATCCGAAAAAATAAAAATGGTCAAATACATGTGTGACATCCTACTGAGTCGAGTCTTAGCATGGAGTCGAGTTGAGTCGAGTTGAACCAAACCCGGTTGGGGTAGAATGGGTTATTAAGTGTATGTGCGGCCTACTGGGTGCGGCGAGCTGACTGCGCCAAAAATCGGGGCTAGGCCCATTTTTATGAATTGCAATCGATGACATACAAACTGAGGCAAATGCACAGGACAGATAGGCCACCCGCATAGGACCTCCTCAAACGCGCCTTCTCTCGCCCTGTTAGGGCCTCCCAACGCCTCAGCTAATCGAAAAAATAACAACATGTCAAACTACACTGTGTGACATACCTTACTGCAGTCCGAGTCTTAGATGGCAGTCGAGTTGGAGTCGAGTTTGTAAAACCAAACCCGTTGGTGGATAGAATTGGGTATTAAGTGGAGTTACTATGATTTGAGAGGAAAATTTAGCATAATAGTGAGCTCATTGTATTTGCATGTAAGAAGATTAGTTGTGGGTATTAATGGTTGTAGGCCGTGTTTACAATTTGATTATCCATTTAGGAGTTCTACTGAAAATCCCTGTATCTTTATTTGTTTACCGTAAATACTCATTTTCACTTTCCATATTGTCTCTTTATCTTTCATCTTCTCATTTCTCCCTTGTTTCTACCTCTTTCACCTTACTTTTATGGTAGTTAAGCCGTTAACTTCAAATTTTTCTTCTATCCTAGAAGTAAAACCCTTCTTGAAGGCATAAGTGAAACATTTGGTGTATTGTTTTAGTGTTATAAGAATTATTCTATTTATGTGTGAAGGAGTCTAAGAGTGTAGACGAAAACAGAGAAGGCTGGAAGAAGGAGCTCAAGCTTTTAGGACGTAAACGTTGATATCTCTTGTTATTTTCCATTTTCTTTGCGTGAGATTCTGTCACCCCGGGTGTGGATGTTGGCTATTGAGCTTAATCTTTTGCTGTAGTTGATACAGTGGAGGACCTTGGTAATGGTGAGAAAAAGGGGAAAGAACAGGGCGAGGTATTGAATAAATGAAGTAAAATCTTGAGTTTTCATGTTGAAAATAGGTTTCTGCTGGAAATCCTTTTACCGAGTTAACTCTCATTCTGGGTGGATTTTGACCCATTTGAATGATGGAATTGAAGTGTCAGAAGGAAGGAGTTAATTGTTCCTATGTGGTTAGCCTTTACATGGGTTTTTGATCTGCCAAATCGGAGTTGTATATTGAGAGAGATGCCGCCAAAGCGTTACAGACGGTGCAGGGTGGAAGCTGCGCGCGGAAAAGTTGCATCGAAAGAGTTCGCGTTTTGCACTTGCTTCTAGCGCTCCGCGAATTCTGAAATTACCCTCCAGCGGCTTCGCGACTGTTCACTGAAACTCTCTACTTCATTTTGGCACATCCTCGCGCTCGCGACTTGTGAAAGGTGCGCCTCGCGCACTTGGCCTTGCTTAGTAAGCGCTGGAGTTGTATATTGAGAGATATGACCAAAAGAGTACAGACTGTGCAGGCTGGAAAACAAGTCGCGCGCTCGCGAATTTCATTTGCGCGCTCGCGACTTGTGCCTGGAAACTCTCTGACTCTCATTTGGTGCTTTACACGCTCGTGACTTTCATTGTGCGGTCGCGAATTTGGCCTGGAAACTCACTGACTCTCATATTTGCATCTCGCGCTCGCGACTTTGCAAGGCGCGCTCGCGACTTGTGTTTCCATGCTCTTTTGGACTTCATTTTCAATGCAATTGGATTCCTTTGCTCAACTTGTATGCCTCCAATCATTTTAAAACAAAAAAGACAACATTAGAACATGTATCAAAACAACATGAAAGCATGCAAATGAGTTTGTGAAATCATTCAATCGACTTATGAATTTACTCGGTCATCAACTATGACTAGATGCTTGTGTGAATATTATTGACATATCAAACATTCTCGCTCCATTGCAGGTTAAGTAGAACCATTGTAGAAAGGGCTACTCTCGCGCGACATTAGGATAGCCGATCTGCACCTCAGCTACAGTTTGCATTACTCCGGCTACAAGGCACGTTGAGTGGATCTGACTTACCTTGGCCATAGGCAGCCAAGGACAACTACAGTATTTCATTTCAGTTTCATATAGTTCTTTCTTGGGTCAACTGCTGGCTCTGTCCACTATAACCTGATAATGGAGCCATACAGATATCTTCTGACGGTGGAACATTTCCATGAATTATAAACGAGATATGATTGTAAAACAAGACAAAAGAATAAATTAAACAAGGTTCTCATGGAAAAGTTCATGACTCGGTAGTGTGCCATATGTGTTTTCATGGTTCTTTCTTAATGTATGTCGCCCTTGAATTGTCTTTGGATGATGTTGAGATATCCACCTGAGCTTATATTTGCCTCAAGCGCGTACTTGTTTTAATCGCAGGGTTTTGAAGATTGGACGCTAGACGAGTCAGCTTACAACCTGCACTTGCAGTTCATCTGTAGAAGACTCAGTCTTCAGGGTAGCTACTCATTTTGCGATATGTATCTTTGTTAGCTATCCTTCTCATGGCATGCTACAGCGGCACCAACAGTTTGGCCCCATTTCATTTTGACATTAGCTCATGGTTTTCGTAATATATAGATGCACTACATTATTTCTTGTAAGACAATGTCAGCATGCTATTATAAGTCAAATACTACTGTAATGACCTTAGATGTCAGAACCTCATACAGTCCAACCAGTTTGTCAACGTCTCGTGTCCGTTCAGCTCGGGTTTAGGGTCGGCCGCGGAAGGACGGTGTTACAAAGTAGCTCATCTCAACCACAGAGCACCAGTCGGGTCCGGAGATGACTTCAGCATGTCAGACCATACAGTCAACCAGTTTGTAGCGTCTCGGTCCGGTTCATTCGGGTTTACGGGTGGACCGGGAAGGGGTGTTACAACATGCATCATCTCAACCACAGACCATCGGTCCGAAAATCATAGCAATCGGGAGTTCCGATTCAATCTTATGTTAAAAAAAAAAGATTATCATCACTGAGCCATTAAGGACAAGAATTTAGAATCTACACCATGTTAGAGATAGATATCAACCTCGTTCGCTACTAAGAAGGAGTGTAGAAAAGGTTCCATAATTGGTTTCAAGTATGCTCTAGTAGCATGGTTCTCTCATAAGTCTTTTGAGTTTTGAAACTCTATCGCCATCAACATGAAAACAACTATTTTCATCGTAGCCTTTACCATGAGCAATTTAATATACTTGCAATACTATTTTAAAATTTCCATGTATATTGCCAAAATTAACTAATGACCGTATCTTTTTAATTATTTGTAGTATATTACTTTTGAAAGAATTTCTATTCTATCCTTAATTTTTGCCAAAATTAACTATTTGGTTCCGACATATTTTACAATTATTTGTGAATTTTAACGGGGAAAAGTACAAAACATCAACAAAATGATATAACGGTATAATGGAGGCAAAAGATAGAGAGAAAATACTGTATTTTCAAAAGTGCAAGGAGCAAAGTCATGTATCTTGAAAAAATATAAGGATAAAATGATAATTTTTCCTTCATTATTTTTGAGAGATGCGCTTTGACTGGGGTGAGCAATACTTGGTTTCTAACCCCAAAACAGAAATAAACCGACTTAATTTGATCGGATTCAGATAGTTATTTTAGAAATTCAATTACCGATTAATTTGACAAAAAATTGATTAGTTTGGATCCATTTTTATTTTTAAACCCAAAATAGCTAATCTAGATTGAAATAATCGAATTTAAACCAAATCAAACCACTTCAAATCGATTTGGATCAGTTTTAATACTATTTGATTCCAGATTTAGTTACTATAAAAATATATTTGGGTAAACCGAAATCGAGCTCAATTTGGTTCGGTTCGGTTAACTGATGATGACCCCTGGTTTTGACAGTTATTTTAATAACTTATGGGTCCCAGCACAAACTGCATAATAAAACAAGTACACAGTATAAGATGGCAGTAGATGTAAATAGAACAATCTTTAGTCAATGTGAGCAACGAGTTTATGCGCACGACTGAGAGAAAGCAAGAAATTTCATGACATTAGAATATTATATATACATAAAAACATATTTACATATATTATTAAGCACCTGATTAATGTACATCATGGTCACATGCCATTTGAGGATGGCTAACTTCCATATTGAATTATCAATTTCAAGTTGATATTGACAGGATATCTTCACAATCAAAACTCTTCATCATCTAATGTTGATCTTGTAATAGGTATAGACCATCTTCCCAAGTGAGCTGTGTAATTTATGCACCGAATAACACCTCTTCCAGCTGGCCCATCAGGGAAGTCCAAAACGCTAACACTACCTGCATCAAGATGAAATGATCCCATCCACTCTTTAGTTAGATTCAGGCAATGTACCATCATTGCTATATGAATTGCAGGATCACCCACTACAACAGTAATCTTTTCTGGGTCAGATTCATCGGATAATTCATTCAACAAAGCTTGCCAAGCTTTTCCAGACTGTTCCCACAGAGCTAAAAGTGCTTTATCCTCAAACTGATTCAAAAAACCAGGCTGATGTGCTGGAGCTTCTCTTCCGTCCTGTGAGAATTGCCAAAAAAAAAAAAAAAAAAAAAAAAAAAAAAAAAAAAAAAAAAAAAAAAAAAAAAAGGCAAATTGGAAATCAATCTAAGATTGGAAATTGTGTATTAGACTATTGCAAAGCAATGAGATCAATTGTGACTAAGAGCCCGTTTGATATAAACGAATTCCAAATTTTATAGAATTGTTTAACAAATCTATGCATTTCATGTTTGGTCTAACTAAAACTTCAATTGGAATTCTATAACATTTCTTCTAGGAGATTGGTCATATTTGAACCAAATCCAATTAAATTTTGTAGACGTTAACACAAGAACTCCAAAATAGTATGTCTACAAGATTTTACTTGACTTAGGTTTTTACTAGATTTATTTACCTGGGCAAATTTAATGGCTAAAGTACCATAATATGTGAATTCATTTGCAAATGAAATGGAATTCTCATTCGCTTGATCCAAACACCATATGAATCCAGTCCTTTGCTAAGCTAGGCTCAGTTCATACTTAGTGGCGGATTTATTCACAAAAAACGGGGTCAATTGACACCCCCCCCCCCCCCCACCACCCCCCCCCCCACCCCCCCCTCTTTTTTGGCTATTTTCCTTATATTTATAGAGTAATACTCAATTGACGTTTTTTTTTTTTTTTTTTTTTTTTTTTGTTTGCCTATTTTAGCCCCCTTCATAGTTTTAAAGATCTTTTAATGTTTTTAATATTGTGCCCCAGGAAAGAATTTTTTTTTTTTTTTTTTTTTTTTTTGTTTGCCTATTTAGCCCCCTTCATAGTTAAAGATCTTTTAATGTTTTAATATTGGCCCCAGGAAAGAAATAATTCTAGTTCCACCGACGTACACACATACTCTAACTTGTGTACTCTAACTCAAACAGCGGAAAATTGGGCAACCACGGGCGCAAAAACTTACATCAGATAGATAGCAAAAAAGACAGAACTAATGTTATCAGTATTCTTTATATTTACCAAGAAAAAATAACAAAAGGGGAAAAATTAACCTTGCAAGTTATTACTCAGATTAAGGCATCATATTTTTTCCCTGGTAACTTGCCTTGTTTGATTGCTGAAGGATGTCTCTGACATCAAGCTCATTGATTTGTTTCATTTCCACATAACGTGGCACACAATCAGCACCCAAGCAATCTGCTGCTTCTTGCACCTAATAATGGTAGCCAGTTTGAATTAGACCACAGAAAAAAAAAAATCAACAGTAGAATAAAGATATTATCTTTCAGAAAGAAAATTGGATATTGCAGTACACAAAAAGCAGTCTCATCAAAAACAATTTATCAGATTTTCCATATAATTCATGAAAGGGAATAATATAATCTGCTGCTTCTTGCACCTAATAATGGTAGCCAGTCTGAATTAGATCACAGAAAAAAAAAATCAACAGTAGAATAAAGATATTATCTTTCAGAAAGAAAATTGGATATTGCGGTACACAAAAAGCAGTCTCATCAAAAACAATTTATCAGATTTTCCATATAATTCATGAAAGGGAATAATATACTGACTCAAGAATGAAGGGCATGAGCTTACTCTGGAGATGGCCATGGCTGTCCCAACACAAGCATTGTTAGGGCTGTTGACTATAGTGCTTACTTTCAGATCAAGAAGAAGCTCTGCAGTTTTCTGGGACTGTCAAGAATCCATATAAGAACTTCAGGACACAGCCATGCAACCAAATTATTTTACACTTTTGGATGAATGATTTACCTGGATAACTCCAAGCATATTCATTGGCTGATCCCCAGAATTAGGAAAACTAGCCTGTGAACATTGAAAAGGTTGACCATGACCTGATAGTTATTAAAACTGATGTGGCTGCAAAGTAATATTGTACAACGTCGCAGTGAATCTTCATGAATTATGTTTATCTAAAGTCAACATGAGAGGGTTAAGTATGAGATGGGCCAATAATGGTCTTGTTTTACGGTTATTTCCTGACACTGAATGCAGTGGAAGTTTGAATACTTATTTTCATGAAAAGAAAAATATAAATTCATTTCTGAATCGCACATTAGTGCATTATTCTTAACTTCTGTTCTTCTTCTGCATGCCAGCTCTTGTGTCTCAAAATCAAGACAATTAAGGAAAACATTGTTACAAACCGAACAGATTATGACTTTCATTACAACCCATTGGTTGAGATTCAAATCCAAGTGCAATCTCAGATGAAAAAGACTTGTTAACTTTTTTTCTTTTCTGACAATCGAAATCTAATTCGAAAAGATTTAGGAGAGAAGTCGGACATGATATGAGCAGGAAAAAAAACCCTTCAAGATATGGTTTCAAACCTCTGCATCACCCTGTAAGGTTCCATGACAAACAAGTATAATCCGCTTACTGGTTTTTCTTCCAGCAGAACTTCCAGCAGCAACTGGTGAATTTGGTGTCTGCATCAAGTTTCAATGAAATTTAAGAGAAAACAGAAGAATCAAGTCTTACTATGTTTATTTAAAGTTGCTGTCAACATATTGAAACCTTAATCCTAATATAAGCACATTATATGTTGATTTTATGCAGCTCATCAATCTGTTGAGGTAGCTCATAGTATTTTCCTCTAAACTCTTGAATAAGCAGCTGTTAAAATTTTGAAATAAAAACAAAGTAAAACCAATTCAACATTACAACCTTACCTCCATTTGAAAAAGAAAATTTGATTGGTAATCATCTGCCTTACTTCCACATGTTAATAACAGAATATTTAATCAAATAGTGTTATGAAACACATCATATACCTGATTCAAACGATTAAGACATATATTGGGCGACCCACCCTCAGCTCCTGGGGTGAAATCCAGCACACTTACACCACAATTACTCTGAAGTAAAATCCTGAAATACTCAGTTCCCAGTCCTGGATAACAGTAAAATGAAAGAGAGACAAAGAAAGTAAATCCGACATGATAATCCTGATAATTTCATGCAATTACAAAAACGAAAAGGGGAACAGTACCAATAGCTGTAGCAACAAGAGCCTGATTAACAGCATTGTGAGCAACCACAAGAACCGACCTACTTTCATGTAATAGGATTTGATTCCAGCAGTTTCTAGCACGAGCCCACAATTCCCTCACTGGGTAATGACCATCAATATTGAAATTTGCAGCATCTACCTGCCATTGACGAAACGCTGCACCAAATTTCTCCTTCCCCTCATGCTTTAGAAGGCCCTAGAATGAATTTTAAAAAATCGTTTGATAAAATATTCTTAGAATAAGATTATTTATGGAAAAATAAAAAATAAATAAATAACTTACTTGAAATGAGTAGAGATCAATTTCTCTCAAATCAGAGTCCGTAATTATTTCCTCTTTGCGAGATCCCCAAATGATTTCAGCTGTTCGTTTTGATCGAATCAGAGGGCTGAAATTACAAACCAGTAAATCGATCACCCGAAATAAATAAAAAAAGACACGAAATGGCAAGTCCTTTACCAGCAAAACGACAACAGACCTGCTGAAGCAGACATCGAAGGAGTCATCAATAAGCATCTGGCGCGAGGTCTCGGCCTGAGCCTCTCCTTTCTTGGTTAAAACAGAAAAATCAGAGCTCCCTTGGATCCTTCCTTCAGCATTCCAGCTGCTCTGCCCGTGCCGCACCAAGACCACTCGCTTCGCAACTTTAATTGAAGGAAACGGCGCCGAAGAGTAAAGCTCAGAGCTCAATTCTGTGTCTTGCGGGGATTTCTCGATCTCTTGGATGCTTGAAGAAGAGCGGACTGTAAATGGAGAGTTGGAGTTTCTATGGCGAAAAAGAAGACGATTGTGTAGAAGTGGAGAAGGGGAGAGTGAAAACATTTGGAAGTGTTATGTTTTTCGTTATCTGCGATTGCTTTTTGCGTTTTGGCGCTAATTTGTTTTCCTTTCTGTTTTGCACTTAGTGGTTACCGTTGTTTCTATCGAACTGATGATAAGCGTAACGATCAGCAGAATGACACGTATACAGGAGAGAGAAGATATTTTCTCGTACTTCTTTATATTTTTTTTTTCTTTTGAAATATCCATTCTTTTTAATTTTATTGCTTTAGTATATTGCATTCCCTCAAATTTTATCTACAAATCAAGAGTTCAAATTTAAAGTTAGCCACGCTAGAAAGACTTTTTAGATATTATCCTCGGCTTGAATATAAATACAAGAGCACAATTAGCAAATATTGGGTAAAGAGCGAAACAAAAATTTTCAAATTTTTGGAAGGTAAAAAATTAGAGTTAATTTCATTTATCTTAGATGTGATATCACATTATGGTTACTCAAATTTAATTTGTCACGTACGTATATATAAATTTCTATTAAAATAACATTAAAATGAAAATAACCTAATCACTTATTAAGATTACTGAAAATCTGATGTGAAAATTAAAATAACATTTATATAATGTCACATCCATCAGTAATAAATCCGTCCAAATGGTTAGAAGAGGCCAAAAAATAATTTTACTAAATATAGAGAGTAAAAATAAAAATTCTTTTCAAAAATTTCACTCTAAAAATTTTAAAAAATTTTTAATTTGAGGGTCCCACAAAAATTTTTAACACGGAAGACCACAGTCCCTCCCAACCTCCTGAGTCCATCCCTGACATCAACAGTCAACTTTCTCCTATACCTATTCTCTCTTATCCAATTAAGTTCTTATTTTTGACAAAGCCAAATAAAGATTTGGGAGGAGTTTTTCTTCTTTTACTATCATTCTCCATGGTACACCACCATCATCAACATGACATCCATGACCACTTGTGTATTCGTATCTCTCTACAATCCTAAAATCAACCCCATCAAACCAAGGCTTTTTTTTTTCTCTTTCTCTCCCGATCTAAATCCTCTTCCTCTTTCAGATCCTCTCTCTCTTTTCTATTTTCCCCTCTCTTCTCTCTCCGCTCTCTTCCCTCTCTGCTCTCTTCACTTTCTTCTCCTATCCCATTTATCATTTACTTCTTTCTCTCTCTTCCTTTTCTAAAGATTCTAAAGAAAGCTAGGGTATTTTAAAGATTTTCAAAAATAGTTTTTCATTATATTTGTTTCCATAATTGTGTTGGATTTTTCTAATTTTCACTTTTGGATCTTTTGTTGTGTTGATTTATTTGTCAAAGTAATCAATCAATATTTTAGCCATCGAATTTATGATCGAGTTCAGTGGTGTTACATTTGTCATTATTTTTGGTTCAATATTGGAAATGGGAAGAGAAGAAGGGTAAGAAGAAGAAGGACAAAAAATTTTTGGAAAAGAAATTGTTTATATGCTGAGATTTGAATGTTTTTTTTTAAAAAAAAAAAAGTGAAAATAAAATTTTCATTTAAAGGAGAATTGAAACTATATATTAAAAAAAGAAACTATTGGGAGAAAAAGCGAATTTTCCATTACTATAAAGTAAAAAAGTTGAGAGAGAAATGAAATATTATCAAGTAGGTCGCATCCTATTCAAATTATGTCTTTGAATGGAGAGAGATTGTTGACGTTGCATTAAATAAATGTAAAATTTACTTAAAACTTTTCCATTCGGTAATTTTAGCCGGTTATCAAGTCATTTTAATTTTAATGTTATTTCAATAGAAGTTGATATATGTTTATGTTGCAAATTGAATTTAAAGTATGATAATGTAAACCACCTATTAAAGCACAACGAGTGAAATAAACCTAAAAAATTACTCTTTGAGAGTTCAAAATGTAATTTTTATAAAGAAATTTTTATTTTAATTTTTGTGTTGTCCTCACCCCCTCCATCTAGTTCTGACATATGCAAACCAAAAAAATTAAAAAAAAAACATATGCAAACCATTTGTGTATGTGTGTCTGTTTGTGTTTTTTCAAAGAAGATCATGAGAGAGAAATGTCTAGTCTAAAGACATATAAACAATATTATTATGCTCCTATAAACTGATTTATAATGTCCATTTTTTAGAAGATGATAAAATTTTAAATCTACGATATGTTTTGTTATGAGGGAAAGTAATTCATGTCTAATAAAAGATTAACTTTCATTATTTTAAGAGAAACAATATCTCCCTAAATTACAGTGAAATTAACACATACCTCCTTTTATATTCTAAAACTAACACACGACTCCCTAAATTTTCATTCCGTCGTATAACCACCTCCCTCCTTCCAAAATCAGCCTAATTTTCTATTAGTCTACCTCATAAAGTAAGGTCAAAGGAAAGAGAAAAAAATAAAAGATAATTTCTACCCTTATAATCCCTAACCCCTAAACCAAACCTACTGCAATATTAGACTGTCGTTGCCACTACAATGAAATCAAAGTTTAATTACACCTGATAAATCAAAGTTTAATCTGGTTTCTAAAACAATTAATGACTAATAAAAGAGAAAGATAATATAATAAGAATCCACAACTGCATATCCAATGTTCATTAGAGAATGGACAGCGATGTATATCCTTATCTTGCTCTTTTCTTTCTCCCTTGTATGATTTTCTTGATCTAATATCTACAAGAAAAATTCAGATCCAACTAAGTAAGATTTCCAATAGAAATGAATCAATTGAGAAAAGAAATGAAAGCATGCACTCAAAGAAACAACAAAAAATTTTGAAATTGTACGTCAAAATCAATGCAAATGAATTCAAAGTCCACAACTTTTTCTCTGTAAATAGTACTCCTTTCGTTTCACTTTAATAGCAACAAATAGGTATTTACCTGGTTCCACTTTAAGTGCTTATTTAAGATTTTAAGAGTATATTAATTATTTTTTTTCAATTTTACCCATATGTATTAGGTGTTTTATAGCAAAATTAAATAGAGAGCTTTTAATTTTAAGAAGGGCAATTTAGACATTCTACCATATACTTTCGAAAAATTAATATATTCCAATCATTTTCTTAATCCTTGTGAAAAGATCAAATTTTAACCCATTATGCTATAAGGTGTTTTATAAGCAAAATAAATAGAGAGCTTTTAATTTTAAGAAGGGAATTTAGACATTCTACCCAGTATTACTTTCGAAAAATTAATATTATTCCAATCATTTTCTTAATCCTATTGTTGAAAAGATCAAATGTTGCCTATTTTAATTTTAAGAAGGGCAATTTAGACATTCTACCATATACTTTCGAAAAATTAATATATTCCAATCATTTTCTTAATCCTTGTGAAAAGATCAAATGTTGCTATTAAAGTAGAACAGAGGGAGTAATATATTGATAATAGCTGGCAACTACAAGATACAAAATTTACAAATGTTTAGACTTCGTGTGCGAATAAAACCTATTAACACAATGGGACAAAAATTTAGTTAAAAAAAATCCAGAATAAAGATAACAAATTTAAACACCTACATAATATATATTCTCTCATAATTCAGGTAATGAAAACTAAATTAAGCCCAATATTCATACTTTATGTAATCCAGCTAAAGAAAAAATAAAAATTAAAAAAATGCCCCTTAAATCTTAAACAAAACTAACAAAACAAAATGATATCAACAAAATTCGAAATCAAAGCTACAAAAACATAATAAAAAGATTCAAACTTCATTTCAACTAAAAAATCTGAATTATTAGCTCACTATCAACAGAAGCACAAGGAAGAAATCATCTAAAGAACATCAAGGCACAATATTTAAAAGAAATTCAAAATCGATGAAGAATCAACAAAGCGAGTGAAGTTACCACAGTAAATCTGAAAAATATCAACTTGATTTGAATCCGGTAAATTTGTAAATTCTCAAATGCATATTGGATTCTTCTTTAGTGTATCTGTGTTTAGTTATGAGCGAATAATAGGTTCTCACTATGTTTATCAACTCCTCAAGCTAGAGCTAAATTGGCAAAGACCATCACTTCCAGTCGAACTATCCTCAGGCCATGTTTTCACCATATTTGATTCTTTTTGCATAATACATAGAGTAATTTAGTTACAAAGTTAAAATATAGGCATTTTTAATATTTTGCGTAAGTAAAAATCTTAATTTCATCTCAAAGTAGTCTACATTGTCTTTTAAAATATTAAATTAATGTTAACTAGCCTTAACGGAGGTAGGCATGATCACCAAGCTAGTTTGAGCCAGAACCAAATCAAAATTGAAATTAAATTTTGGCAAATCGAGATCGACTCAAAATGAAAGTTTAAAAAACATAAGTTGGCACCGAGGGTTCATATATCAGTTAATGTTCATATTCTTGTAAAAAATTAACCAATACCGGCCTAAAATTGGATTTTGAACTTGCAATCCAAGTTGATTTGGTTCAATAAATGCATACCAAAAAGTTATACACTTTTATGGGAGAAAAGGATAACTATTTATATGTGCGCGCATGTGTGTGTTTAAGGAAGAACATAAGAGAGAAATGTTCAGTCCAAAGACACAAATAATGACATTTCGCTTTGGAAGATGCTAAAATTTTAAATCTACATTTTTTTATTATGAGGGAAGACAATTCTTGTCTAGTCAAAAATTTTTAAGGTTTGTAATCGTAAGTAATGACCTTGTACTTAGATTTTTTTTTCAGGTTTGAACTGTTTGTTGGTGCTGATCAACAACTCTTTAGTACAAGAGAATATATCAATGCATATTGTGTGTGTTGATACAAAGTGGTTCCTATTTCTTTATTCCCTTCATATTACCTTCAATATGAAGCCTTTTATTTTTCTTTGATCGCATATGACAGGCTCCATTCTAAGCCTAAATAGGTTATTTGACTCTTTTTGTATAATTTATTGAGTAATTTGGCTACAAAGTTCAAATCTAAGCACCTTGAATATTTGGCCCAAATAAAAATCCTTACTTTTATCTCTATTCTATACTATCTTTAGAACATTAAACTAATGCTAATGGAACTTAATGGGTAAGCTTGGCAGACTGGTTTGAGCAAGAACTCTATCTGAATCAAATCAGATTTTGGTGAATCGAAATCGACTTGAAATGAACGGTTCACAAATTTGAATTGGAGCCGATAGTTCATGGACCAAGTAACTAAAATTGGCCCAAAATTGAATATTGAACTGACAATCGAGGCGATCTGGCCCAATATATGCATAGTTAATAAAATTTATGAAAAAATTTTTGGCTCTTCAGTCTATTTTTAGCTATAGATAGGCAGAGTAGTCACATCTTTGAAAATTGAGGAAATTTATTACTTTCTCACTTGGTTTAGGAAGCAAAATTTATGTCTCTATTTTCTAAAATTAGCTTTAATTTTGTTTCTAAAGAAAAAGAGATGTGTAACTCTGAAATCCAATTCTTAATAAATTTTTTATTAGAAGAATATAACTTACTATTAGAATTATGGTCGGAACCAAAATCAATTAGGAACCATTAGTCCATGCACCGTTTCAAGTTTAAAATTTTAGAAATCTTAAACTGTTAATTTAAAGAACAAAAATCATCGATTCAATGGACCAGCCTTACCTAAATGGAGGTAATAGTTTAAGTGGATACATATTAAATAACAAATAACATCAAGATGTATGTACATGATATGTACTTAATGTTAATTATTTATTTCTGAAAAAGATCACACAGGTACATAAGATGAATTAACCCTTAAAGTTTGATCCTTTAGTCGATAATTCCCTTCCAGAGATCAGGACCTTGACCTTGACCTTAACCCTGGGTAAAGTGAAAGAGGGCGTTTATCGAAGAACTAAGTGAACCTTGAGTAAATTGAGACTTTACTTCAATTCATTTTCTGCCTCTTTCATCTCATTCGTTTTCCCAATTTGCAACTTGCATAGATTATAAATTTATCAGTAGATTGCAATAAAATGGAAATATATAATTTAGGCCATGTTTTTAGCTTATCTATCATATCTACGCTTGTCAACAAAGATTATATTATCCCTTATAGTAACCTAAAAGTACAGTGAATTGGGTTAATTAAAGATTTTGGTGAAAGTTTGACAGATTAAGAGGCAATTAGAATAAGAAGATGAAGATGAAAGGAAAAGGCAAATGAGACACAAAGAATTTAAAGAGGTTTAGCTATTCCAATCTTCTTCTTAAGGTCCTCCTCCAAAGTTTCAATCCACCATCAACTTCTTCATTGGATGTAGAACAAACCTTTACAATCTCTCAATGGCAAATCCTTACACTGTACAAACTCAATTTCATAATTGTGTAATAAATACACCTACAAGAACTTTCTCACTCAATTAATACAATATAAACTCATTCTCTGTAACACCCTAGATGCAATGGAAGTCTTATACCCCCAATGTTATGTAAATTAAGTAAATAAATAATAAAGAAATATTTTATAAAATATGTGACTTATTTAGATCATAAAGGACTATTGAAATATAAGGAAGTGAAATTTATAAAGTATTAAAGTGATTTAAATGGAAAATTCTAAAACATCTAAGGTATGATGACACAAATACAGAAAAATCTCCTAAGGAAATTAAATTGAAATGCACCAAAATTCTATAAAAATAAAATATAATCTTAATCTAATTAAGTGAACCAAAAACTATAAATTAAAATACTAAAAAAAAAAAAAAGAAGAAGAAGAAGCTTATGTAATAAAAATGTGAAATGACCTAAAAGGGCACCGAGACTACTACTTAACCAACGTGACTAAAGAGGATAAAAGGGAAATCTTACCTATACAAGCGGTAATCCATCTTTTTAACAACAAAGCAAGTCACTCATCTTTGACCTAAGGGAAAGAAGGATAAGTGTATGAGTGACTCACCTCTTTAGTAAGAGAAAGGAGGCAAGTGTATAGGTGAGTCATCTCCTTAGCGAAAAGAAAAGAGGACAAGGGTATTAGGAGATAACACCCATCTCTTCACCTTTCATTCCCAACGTAGGCTTCTTCTTTCTCCTTCTTCTTTCTATCATTCTAACATTTGCTAGAATTTATTTACCAAAAAATACCAAGTGAAGATAATATTATCAAAGGAAAAATGAAGCTAACAAAGAAAAAAGAGAAGAGAAAATAAAAGAAATTAAAAGAAAGGTATGGAATTTAAATTCTGCCTTTGATTTTCATATTTTCCTAAGCTTAAATCCTTAATTTGATGAATCAAAACTCAAAATTATCTTTTAAAAATATGAATTGATCAATTAGGATGCTAGAAATTGGTTTGGATTGAAAGGAATTGATCATGTAAAAGTTAGAAACTTAAATTTCCAAAACTGTCTTAATGAAACTGCTTCAATTCAGCCACTGTATTTTGTTAAATTAAATATGTAAACAAGCTTTAAAATTAATAAAATTTTATAGAGATATAGGTTGGGATGTTGGGAAGGTTTTGGTAAAAGGAAATGTCCAGAAGATGAAAGGAAAGGAATTTATAGCTAAGTGAATACAGACGGCTCAGTGTGACACTCTAAACAGATTTCAGCACTGTGTTTAGGCTGTTTGGCCATGTAAATAAACTTTACAAATTATGAAATTTTACAGAGATGTAACCTAAGATGTTAAGAAGGTTTTTTTGAAAAGGGAAAATCCAATTGATGAGGGAAAATGGAGATATTAATAAAAGAAAGAAGACTGCTCAGTATGTAAAAGCTGAAAATTCTGATTCTGTAATTGGATTATTTGAATAGGTAAATAAACTCTAAAATTCATGAAATTTAATATGGGAGTGCCTTAAGATGCTGGGAACATCGTGTGAAAATTTCATACCAAAAGGATTTTTAGAAATGAAAATATATTCAAGAGAATGTAAGTGACTGATATGCTGAAAATTCTGGATCTCCTAAATGTGCACTAAATTGAGCATATTAAAACATAAGTGAATAGACTATGAACATAAGCATATAATGGATGAACATAAAGCTTAATGTGTGTAATTTCTGTCTCCAAAATTTTAGATTCAAATTTAATGAATAAAAATATCAAAAAACCTTGAATATCAATAAAGAGCTAGAAGCAAAACTAAAAAAGTTTAATATGTGTTTAAATGTGAATATAGGCCGAGGATTACCACGAAACTGTTTTGAAAATTATAAGTGCTCGAGAGGAACCAAATTGTTGCTTTCAAGGTGAGTTATAATGTCTAATCCTTTCTTGTTACATTGGAACTTTTGATCAAATGCATACCGTTATTGGTATTTGAAACCATTTGTTAATTGTGATATTGAGATTGTGAATTGTGAAATTGTTTGGCCTCTAGGCCTATTTGATTGTATCAAGCCATTTGTTTAGCCAATATGACAGAGTCCCAACTGGATGGGGTTTATACCATCAGGATATGTGCACATAGAGGTTTGTAATTAAAGGGAGAAGTTACTGCCATAAAGTGTGTAGTGTGTGATAGCACTAGAACGTACATAGTAATATGTTTTCTTCAGTGCTATCTATGTGATTATTTGTCATATTATTGATATTGCCTTTGTGATATTCATCCAATTACTATGAATCCTTTTATATGGACTTATTTCTGTTGATGAGCTACAATGGTACTACCATTTTGTATTACTATAAATGTTGAACCTTGAGATACTTTTCAGTGTACATGCTATCAATAGGACACTATAATTTCACTGAGTTGATGACTCACTCAAGCGTATGTGGTTTTAGGTAGAGGTGATCCAGATCCATTAGCTTCTTGATTTCCTTCTTCCAACAAGAAGCCTGTGAATGATGTAACTAGTTGTCAGATATTATAAGTTGTTAATAAGCTATATGAACTCTAGTTTCTCCATAGTACCTTTGTGAATGATATTAGTATTGTTTGTATGAAGCTATAATGTAAACAGTATTTTGAGAATGTGATATATGATTATACAAAGTGTATGAAAGATTGTAATCAATAATCATGGGAACTAAATGAAAGTAAATAAATTGATTATAGCCCACCTAAGTAATTAATCAAGATAAGTAATGTGTGCAATTGGATTAGTTCAGTTGTGGGTTCTACAAGGTTCCCGATGGCCTTAAGCCTACCTGGACCCTAGGACCGTCGCACCATCAATTTTGGGGTGTGACACTCTCAATCCTCCAACTATAATAAATTTCAACAATAAAAATTATCACACTCAATCTATTAATATATCTCAAGTTCTAGAGAAAGAGAAAATGAAAACAATGGAAAAACTTACTTAATCTCTTTTGCAACGTCGTTGTCACTTCTTCCAAGTCAATTCAGACACATATTTATAGTTAAGGCTCAAAAATAGTTGTTAGAGGTGTATGTAATATAAAAATAGATGTTAACTACCAAAAGAGTCGCTATAAATGTTTGGCAAAAAATTCAAGTTCGGTAATGTAAAGCCACTTTAGGCAGCCTAAAGTTTGGAGGCAAAAATGATCAATTTAAAAATTGACTTTAGGCTGCCTAAACTCAAATTTGGGCACCTAAAGTGCCTGAACTAGAAAATTTTGAATTGTTTCCTGACGCCTAAATTGAACTTTAGGAGCATAAAGTGCAGCCTAAACTCCCTAAAATATCTATAGCTTTTGTTAGAAAACTCCATTTTCAAAACCATTTGAACCATCAAAAAATGTATATTTAAATAACTTTCCAAAAACATGAATTTCTATAATAAAATACTACTCAAAACAAAAATTCATTTCAAAATACAAATGCAATATATTCAAAATGTCACCAAGACTTAATTTATTTGAATGAATTCCTAATTTTAAAAGGTAATTGACTTTAAAATAATTTTTAAAATACAAGTTTTAATATCATGAAATATATTCAAAAAAAATTTCTAGAATTGAGTCAATTAATTCATTGAAAAGAATAAAAAATCTAAAGACTTGACTTGTGGGCTTCTAATATCTTGAATATTTATCACTTGAAGCTCTTAAGGTTAATTTTCTTGGATGAATCTACTAACCAAAAACACTAATTGAAATTAATTTGTAGCACATCAATTTTTTATTATCATCCAAACGTAGTATAAAATATTTTATCCAACAGATTCCTATCATCTTCCATTTTCGATTTTCCTGACACACATTATGAAAAATTACTGTTATGGAAAGAATCAGTAATATGAGTTAGGATTGGGGTAAATACTATTTAGTCCTTAGGATTGAATATACTGGTCAAGACTTCTATTCTCAAAGTTACATTGTCAAGTCCCTCAATTGTAGTTCCGTTACATTACTAGATAAATCCATTCAAAATAAGATAAATTTCTATTCGTCGATTAAAATTTAATAATAAAAATTCCAAAGTCAATTAATGGAGAATTGTATGCATAGAAAAATATTTTATTTATTTATATTATATTATATATATAAATGTGGGAATAACAAGATTTTCGATATTGCCTTTAATGAAATTTAAAATGTGGTAAAATAACCTTAGTTATAGCCAATTAGAAAATTATATTTTATTTTTATTCGATACATTTATAAAAATCATTTTAAAAATAAATACATATAGATAAATAAGAATTTCAAAATTTTAAGTTTTATCTTTTTTTAAAAAAAATTATTTTTTATATTTTTATCGATCATTTAAGAAACATTTTAAAATAAATACATATAGATAAATAAGAATTTCAAAATTTAAAGTTTATCTTTTTTAAAAAAAATTATTTTAATAAATATAATATGATAAGCAACACTTGAAAATTTTATATTTAAGTTTTTTAAATTTATTTTTAAAATCTTGATTTAAAAAAAAAAAGAAAAAAAAAGCATATTTTTAATATTCACATTAATCTCATATCAAATTTTGTTTCAACATTATAAAAATATAAATAATATAAGATAAAAATATAATATTTTATTTAAGAGAGAGGTATAAAAAAGAAATATATATATTTTTAATATTCTTTATATTCAGATTAATTTGATATTAAATTTTGTTTTAACACTATAATCAATATTTAATACTAAAAAATAAAAACGAGTATAAATAATAAGTAAAAGTGAATGATAATATAAAAAAAATTAAACGAATATGAATAAAAGTATAATCAACGTAAAACGCACGTCGTAAAAGACTAATAAAGTAAAAAGAGTTAACCACACATCCCATTTAGCGTAGTTGGCTTTCAAAAACCTTATTGTTTCAAACACATACACTCTTTGTTGCAATCTCTCCGGCTCTCTCCCTCTTGAACCAGGCTAAGCAGATGCTCAGTTAGAAGAGGAGAAAACCAAATAGTTTTAAGAGATTGATTGAAATGGAAGACAAAGGGACAACCGTCAATTTAAGGAGAGAAACGTATAGCGATGTAAGAGAGAGAGAAGAAAATGTTAACCATAAAACCATCTTAAAATCATGTGACAGACAAGAATATATTATTTAAAGCTATTTTTACAGGTTCAGATCCATTTAATGGGAAATTTAACAGCTTTACCTGCCAGTTCAATGAGAGCAAAATCGAGAGACTTGATCTGTAATTTTCAAAATAGAGGTCCAAACTAAATAGTATTTAATCAAACCTTAGGGACTAGGGACTAAATAGTATTTCATAAGAATATTTTATTGATAATTATTACATACTTCGGCTTTTGCAAGCTTAGAAATCCTATATTTTGTAATCTATGCACCGATCAATAGGACCCTTCTTCCAGCAGGTCCATCAGGGAAGTCCAAAACGCTGATATTCCCAGAATCAAGATGAAATGATCGCATCCATTCTTTAGTTAGATTCAGGCAATGTGCCAACATTGCTATTTGAATTGCAGGATGACCAACTACAATAATTATCTTTTCTGGATCAGGTTCATTGGATAATTCATTTAACGAAGATTGGCAAGCTTTTCCAAACTGTTCCCAGAGAGTTTCAAGTGTTCTATCCACAAATTTATTCAAAAAACCTGATTGATGTGCTGGAGCAGACACAGAAATAAGCAAACTCAAAATCAAGCTAAGACAGGAAATCCTAATGCCCTAACCAAGTTGAAATACAAATCCAAGTGCAACCTCAGATGAAAGAACTCGATAGCTTTTTTCGACAATCTGACGAACAGAAAATCAAATCAAACAGCTTCAGGACAGAAAGTTGGACATCATATAAGCAAAAACAGGCAAAATATTTCAAGTGATGGTTTCGAACCCCTGCGTCACTCTGTAAGCTTTCATGACAGACAAGTATGATCCGCTTCCTGGTTTTTCCACCACCAGAACTTCCAGCTACAAAGGTGAATTTGGTTAAGAGAGAACAGAAATATCAGGTCTTACTATGTTATGCGCAGTTGCTGTCAACATATCAAACCCTTAAAATCGGTTAATCCTAATATAAGCACAGTAATTTTTGGTTGTGTGCAGCTCGTCACATCTGTTAAGCTAATTCAAAGTATTTTTCCTAACACAATCTTGAATAAGTAGCTGTTCAGATTTTCAAATTAAAAACAAAGTAAAACCAATTCAATATTACAACTACACCCCATATAAGAAACAAAATTTTAGTTGGCCTGCAAATTAGACGCCTACTTCCAATTCTAGCGTAATGAACTTTCAGTTCTAGTTCATGAGGAAAAAAAAAGTAAGTGGATAGAGATCAGTTTCTATCAATTCAAAGTCTGATCATTTCCTCTTGCGCAAAATCCCCAAATGATTTGATCGAATCAGGGGTCTGTAATTACAATTCATTGAATGGATTACAAGAAATAACAAAATGCAGAACGACAATAAATCTGCTGAACAAGAAGGAACTATAAAGAAAAATGCAAAACGACAATGACCCTGCTGAACCAGAAAGAACCATCAAGAAGCGTGTAGTCTGTAGTCTTTTAAAACATTAAAGGATTGCCAACTGGCCTTAATTGAAGTTCTGTTTAAATTACATAATTTATAAGCATTTAAGTTTTCAGTAGATGATCTATACTGTATTTCTCAAAAGATACCACGTGTGAACGTAGGACAAGATCTTAACCCCTAAAGTTTTCTCCTTTAGTTGAGCTTTCCCTTCTCCATTACAATTGAAAGCTATTCTCTCATCTATGGCGAGAGTGGAGAACTGAAAGCAAATATAATAACAGAAGAAACGTTGAAATCCAAGAAAGCTTATAATGACAAAAGCCAAGAAAATATAGAATAGTTATATTAACTAGTTCCATTATCATTCAATATCATCGTCTTCGTCAAAAAGAGAGAAGCAAAAACACATCACCTTCTGTTACATCCCCTATATATCAAAATACTAAGGCAAGCTGCAAGTACAAGTGCAGTAAAACTCTAGTATCCTCCCAAGCTTCTCACAAAGAAAGAACAGGACAAAAGAAAGAGAAAATGACCATTGCAAAAAGCTTCAATGCGACCAAATAGACTAGCAACAAAATTATTCCTCCATTGCTTGGTTTTCCTGGGTTTGTTCTTGAGAGACCTTGACCTTGAGCTTGGGTAAAGTGAGTGAGGGCTCTTCTTGAAGAGCTGATGGAGCTTTGACCAAATGGATACTTTGCTGCAATTCTTTTTCTGCCTCTTTCCTCTCTTTGGTTTTCCTGACCTTCAACCTGCACAGATAGATATGTTAATATATTTTAATAAAATGAAATCTATAATTTAGCTCTTCCATAAATAGAGAGAGATGTACCTATTATCAATGTGTTTGGCTTGCCTATCAGATCTGACTTTATCGATCTTCTTAATAGCCTTCAAAGTATTCTCAGCAAGATTCCTGTCATATCTCTCAGGCCTATTCCTCTTTCTTTCAAACTCAAAGGTTGCATCCTAGTTAAGGAAGAAAGAAACGCGAGGGTAGAATTCATTTAGTGTAAACTCAACCTTAAATTGTGTATTATGATAAAAATACAAAAGATCATCTGAAAAAAGCAAGTTAAAGCAAAGAAAGGCTTTTAACCTGTGTCATGTCCTTTCCATGCAACCGCCTATAGGCCTTGGTCCATTTTACTTTGCGCGGGTTTCTCTTCATTTTAAAGTTCTTATGGCATTTGGATCTACAAAATCGAAAAATCTGCAGAAAGATTGGTAGACAGAAACTTGAGCGACAAAATTCACCCTCAAAGATAACATGGGTGAGAAACTTGAACTAGCTACACAGGTGAGAGATTCTCAGTTGGAGACACCATAACTAGTAAACAGAACCCTTCTCATAGCCATAATTTAATCCATTCGTGCCCAACATCATAGATAACAAACCAAGTCAAATAAGCAATTTCTCATTCAAATTTAAAATAAACTAAAGAAAATACTTATCAAATACAGATCTGGAAATGTTAAATTACGTCCATAAATTTAATCATGCTGTGACCTCAGACAACCAACAATTTAATTTGACCAAGGTAACAATTTCATGCTCATGTAGCGAGAATTGATTAATTAATTCTATGGATGATCAGAATAATGCTATTCAATGTCAAATTTATCCAACCCAGCTAATGTACTTTGAGATAAGAAATTTTTTAGGCAACAGCATAAAAGTACACTGCAAGCAGAGGCCTGTAGTAAGATAAGGCAGAATAATGGATGTCAAAAATTTACCTTTGCATCATTTCGAACAAACTGGATACCATGTCCAGGATATATAGTAGAGGAGCAGAACCAACACTTCTCCAACCTCATTGTGTCTCCGGTTTAAAAAACCAGCTTTCTAAGCAGAGAAATAGCAATATTCAGAATAAGTACAAAAAACAAAGTAATCAACAGAAACAAGATGAGACTGCAACTGCAAATTTCAACATTAAAAAGGAGAAAAACTGCCAGCAATCCAAGTCTATATGTCAAATTGTCGATGCATGAATAGTTGCCATATAGTGCTGTCAGTAATAAGCAGCACATAGAAAATCTGTGTATCAAAGAAATGGTATCACCACATACAAAAAAAGAAAGGGAGGAAAGAAAGGAAGAAAAAAGGTAACAAACAAAGAACCAAAAAAAGATCCTCAATCTAACCAAATTGATAATAAAATCAGTCCTTCATATGCCAATTATTTAAGAAATTACATGAGAGTTTTGCTTTGTTCATTATGAAGAAATTCAACCAAACAGTAACATATAAATGGAATAAGCTCAAATCGGAATTCTGAAGTGGCATTTAACAGAGACACACCAAGGACTTGAAACAGGTTGCATAACTAAAGGGCAATGCCCCAGATAGAGGCAATGATTATGGTTTTTAGACGAAACTACCAAATCCCACACACACACACACACACACACACACAAAAAAAAAAAAAAATTCTTTACTTAACTATCTACTTAACCCTAAAAACTTTCTTGTTGACAAAATCCATAAGATTTCTTATTGCCTAATGCCTGCTTGTTAAGAAAACATTTATAAAATTCTAAAATCAATAACAATAAAGAAAATTCTTTATTATCCAGTTAAATGTTTTGTAGAACTTCTTCATTAAGGGCACTATATTAATCTTTTTCTTGTCTCGAATTTAAAGCACAAATACCAAATCCCATACAGGCAGCAAAAGATGTACCCTATATAATTTCACCATATCAGGTAATACAGATTATGATGAAATAAGTAAAATTAACACGTTAATGTTAAAAAAAGGAGTCCATATCATGATTCAGCAATTTCAGGCGGGCCTTAAAATTTACTTTTTTTTCTACTGAAAAACCAAAACCTAGTATAGTCAAAAGAAAAAAGAAAAAAAAAATTACGTTGATAATAAACAGTGGCATACCTACTATAGCGACTTGCAATCGTCGGAAGCCACAGAGGAGATTTGCCGCCGCTCGTGGAGATGGCCGGTCTTTGACAAGAAGCCTACTAAGAAAGCGGCAATGAATCGAGGAAGAAATAAAGCTGTGAATTTATTGGAAGACCTAAAACCAAATGAGTTTAACATCTAACTCCCCATATCAAAACTACGTCGTTTTACCCCCACGTCAAACGACGTAGTTTTGATGCAGGTTAGCTTAAATCAGTTTACTTAAAACAGTTTACTTAAAACACAACCGTCGGATAAAAAGCTCTCTGCTTAATTACAACCGTCAGATCAAAGCTCCCTTCTCTGCTGCAGTAGCTTCTGTTCCTCGGCAGTCGGCACTCGGCAGACTCACTAGTCACTTGCCGCCACCCTCCTCTTCTTCTTCATCTTCATCTTTTTTCTCTCTTCAACACACAAAATCCCTAGCCTATGCCTGTGCCTTTCGCGGAAACGAAAGAAGGTTGAAATTGGTAACTAATCGACTCTATTTGTATTTATTCTTATTATTTTATATTTTCTTAGAAAAATGAAATAATTTTTCTGACACAGTTTGATAGAGAAAGATCTAATTCTGTTGAAATTGAAAGTTAGCTTTATTTATTTATTTATTTTTGTGAAATTAACTCACTGTCTTGCCGTTATTTAATAATATGATTTAGTTTAGTTTTAAAAAGAAATTCAAATTAATAATAACTAGAAATGGTAATTGGAGTGTTCCTTGTTTTTCTTTTTCTTTTTTTCTTTTTATGCATTATTGTGATTATCTTTTGTGTAATTGACTTATTTGGTCTGTTGTTATCTGATTTTATGTTTGCTTAACATAGCTATAATTGTTCAATCTGAGCTATGAATTGTATAAAAATGATGGAGTTATGAAATTTTTATTTGTTTTAGTTATGTGTGTGAAACAGAAAATGAAATTGATTGCAATGTATATTCATTAAGGTGCTCATTTCTGTTCTATTTTTGAAAACCAGGGTCCCTGGAGATGATAATGAAATTAGGGTTTGATTGAAATAATGAAAGCGTTAATTATTTGATTTCTGTTCTTTTCTTAGTTTTTGAAATTTTAGTTTTTTCTGAGGTTGAATTGCAAATTTGGTCTGATGTTGGTAGATAGTGATTTCTTTTTTTAAAAAAAAAAATTATTGAAAGGATTGTTTATTTTAATTATTGATTTGGATGACAACTTATTGAAAGGGTACTGACATGGCTTTAGCACTCTTGGATTCCTGATACATATTCAGATGTGTTTTGGGCTACTATGGTTCTTGTTTCTGTGATCTAAATTAATCAATCATTCAAGAAAGTAGGTATGCCAGTGGGAATCCTACTTGCACTTTGTAATTGCATTCTATGCCTCTTATAGACAATTCTTTATTTACAAGTTTTACATGTTAAGCATAGCTGGAATATTTAGGAAGATCTATCAAGGTCATGATTGCAGAAAATGGAACCGAACTGCTAATGCGGGTTATAAATTTAATCAAAAGGAAGAAATTATATAATTTATCGAATAATCAATTAATTAAAAAAAAAGCTATCTTCATCATTGAAATAAAATGAGTTTATGTTGATCAATTTGTGTTGTTTTTCTTCTTTTGTGCATATTCTAGATGGAAGTTCAAGGTCAAAGGGAATTGTCTTCACAAGATAATCTTGCATACATGGAGCTTGCAATGGAACAGGTAATCCAAGACCATCTCTTCGTAAGAAGATTTAATTAGACAAAATAGTAAGGCTTTCTTATTGCATTTATTTTCTATCTCCATTTAGTTTTTTATTTTCAATACATTCTATGTTCCTACTATTCTTTCTAGATGCTTACAGGATTTGAAACAACATCCTTCATTCTTATCCATAAAAGAACTTGCAAACAATATTTTTAAATACAACTAAATAGAGGTTCATTTTATGTGTGAATAGGTTGTAAGATATTTGTTCACGAGTTGAGATGTTACATGAATTTGTTTCATGTACTTGATAGGGTTAAGCTGCAACGAGCGGGGTGAGACGCAGACATAGTTTTTAATACATTTTGATTCCCAAATTATAGTTTCTATAGTTTATCAGTTCATATGAAAGTTTCATAAGGTCTTTTTGGGGAGTATTTGGTTCATGAACTGACTCCAACTATGAAGTTTGAGTTCCTATATCATTTGTGCTAAAGGATATAGAGGTACAATCCTATAGGACCTTTGTATCATTTAGCACCAAGTAGACATGAACTCAAACATGGTGGTTGAAGTCAAGGCATGACAATTGGTATCAAAGTTGGAAGCCCTCTAGTGGATGTTTGGTTCAAGGACGAACCAGGCAGAAACTGGTGGGCCTATGACATTTCGACCCGGCAATGTTGTTTAAAGAGGGCGGGTAGGGCAAAGCTCTTGGCAAGCTTCTAAGATGGCAAGCTAGCTAGGGTAGTGGGATGTGTGGTATAAGAATAAATCGAATCATACATCGAAATGGAGAAAACTAATCACTAGAGGTGTCTTTTGTTTAAACGTGTTTGCGTAAGCGAAATCCTAAGATGCGTGACCTCCTGGGAAGTTCTTTATTCCACCCGCGGAATAAAATCGTGCGAATCCTATCCAAATTTAAAATAGGGTGGAATTGACTTGATCCAAAACGAACAATTCTTTTAGTGATTGGAGTTAGGCATGACAATTTGGATTTGGTTATTGTGGTCGCTATTAGCAAATGGCTGTTAACTTTGCAATTTACTCCTCTAGTTTGTGGCCAATGGTTGCTAACTGCTACTCAGTTAGGAATAACCAAATGTCAACTACTAGTGTCAACAATTTCTAGCTGGAACTTTTAGCAAATCATAGATATTTGGGTGCTAAATCAATTTTGGATACCTGGAGTATTGGCATTCACCAGCTGCCGCAAGAAAGAAAAGAAAATATTTTTTTTAATAAAAAAATTGTTGATTGACATTTGGGAAGCTAACATTGTAGTTTCCCTAACCTTTTTTTCTCTCTTTGAATGTCAACCTACTTTAGGAAATCCTTAACAATGTGTATTTATTTTGCCATGTGGATAGCGTGATGACCTGTATATTCTTACAATTGCTGATGTTTAAAGTATAATTAGCAATAGCATCAATACCTTTTACCTGAATATAATAGTAGGCTTTTTGAGCAAATGGCTAAAGGTTAGCCTTTTTGTTTTAGGTTCATATTCTGGAAGCAGTAATTAACAAAAGAAGGATCCATCCTTCGATGATAAAATTTTCTTGTGATCAATTATTTGGCTCTTGAGGTACTTCCTCAGTTGTAGTTTTCTTCTTTAATGGATTGAGTAACTGAAAAAACTGAATCCATATCTAGGTATCTATGAAAATAAAAATTCTGTTAACTAATATTTCTGAACTTGACAAGGCTAATCAACCTTAGCTAAAGGAAGAATGGATAGAGGGGAGTAAGTTTCCCGTGCATTAGACGGGTCCAGGTCTAGGTTTTGTAGTTGCCATATGGTATTCTGCTCCTGACATGTTAAGAAAAATAATTTTTATGCTTAAAGTGAGTTAGATGTCTGCTGATTCTGTTAACACATTTCAACTTCAGTTTTGTGTTGGCTTTTTGACTTGTGAATCTTTTGAATATTATTTGTTGGTCATATGGCAGGCAAAATATGCACTGGATTGTCTTGAAGTGCCAGTGGGGTAAACTCTTCTAAATTATTTTACTTTGTAATTTCCTTTCTTTTCTGAAGGACGCCCTGGGTGTTGGGCCATTTTAAGAGAGAGAGAGAGAGAGAGAGAGAGAGAGAGAGGAGGGGAGGAATAAGCTAGTTAAGGTTTTATGTTACAAATTGTTCATCCTTACCATTTGCACTTGCACTTTACCTGATAGATTTTTTTCTCTATGATGTCATTTTTCTGAAGTTATATTTAAAGGTAAACTGACTATGGCCTAGCATGCCAATTATCATAAAGGATATGAGCAAGAGTTTGGATGTTCCATTCATGATTTCTGATGACAAGGAACTAAAGTTGTAAGGTTGTAAAAAAGAAGATAAAGAGTAAATCAAGTTGTTAAGCAAGTAAGAATCTTAGAGAGACTGGAAATCGGAAGAAGCCAGATGAAAGAGATTTGAATGCTAGGTTAATTATGAAAAGTAACTCAAACATGTCGTGCTGTTAGAGAATCAAAGATGGGATAAGGTTAGACTTCAGTAAATTGGGAGTAACTTGACTCTTTAGTTTTTCTGCTGGTATTTTATGGTTAGTTTTCATAATTTGTTTTGAACTGTTTGTTAGTTTTATCCCTTTTGTGATGCCACTGAAGGTTGTGGGGAAGTATAGAAGAACTCATCTTGGCTTGGGGTGAACTTACTATAGTTATCTACTCTGCACTTGGCTTCTAACATTTACCGCAGGCACAATAACTGGTACATTGGAGGTCCATTCTTCCTAATCCTCTTGTACTAGGGGAAATGTCCTCTCAATCCTCTAATGAAATGCAAGTAAAATATATGCATTGAAATTTCTAGTTTTTCCGAGACCACCCTATTTTTTCAATTAAAATACGTCATTTCAGCAATTTGGGTTTTTTTTTTACATTTGCCTTCCTTGGGCAAACCTAGTCCTTGTCATAGTTCATACAGAAGTAATAATATGTATGAGTAATAAGGAAAAAACATTTGATGTAATTGAAAATAACTTAATTTCATTGGTTAATTTTTCAATTATATTAGGATAATCAACTCAGTTGTTGCTGTAACTCTGTGTACTTGGTTTATGAGTTATATTGTTATGGCGCTGCTGGACTTACGGTAGTTTTACTGCTATTTAGGTTGTTTTTATTTAGTTATTCAGTGTGTATCATGTTATTATCAGTTTCTTTGTTAGTGGGTATTAGTGTGGTGGTTAAGCAAGTTACTTATTGTAATGGGTAGTTATTAGTGGTAGTGGGTAGTTTTAGCTTTACATTTAGTTGTTTAAAAGGCTGTTATATCAGGAAAAATGTAAGCAGAATTTTATGAAAAGGTTTTGAGGTTTTTTACTGCTTATTTAGGTTGTGTTTTTAAATTTAGTTATTCGTGTGGTATCATGTTATTATCAGTTCCTTCATTTGGTTAGTGGGTATTAAGTGTGGTGGTATAAAGCCCAAGTTACTTAATTGTAATGGGTTAGTTATTTAGTGGTCAAGTGGGTAGTTTTTAGCTTTACATTTAGTTGTTTAAAGGCTTATCAGGAAAAATGTAAGCAGAATTTTATGAAAAGGTTTTGAGTTCCTAAAACTCAGAGATTGTAGAGTTCTCTCTTAATGAGCTCTAGGAGATTGCAGATTCTCTCGAAGTCTGTCACCATTGATAGATGGAAGAAAACTCCATCTCAAACCTGATCCCCTAATTCAAAGACCCATAACTAGATCCAAATTTGGGACCATAACATATATTCTTTAAAATGTTTGTTTCCTTCTGTCATAAAATTCATTGCTAGTTTTATGAGCTCAAATGAGAATGAGCCAGGATTGACTGAGGAAATTATTGAGACCCTTCTTATTCTGCCTGAATTGAGGCCTAGGCAACTTCAAACAATACCTGCTGGGGTTTTGTGAGCTGGTTTGTTGCTTTACGTGTTAAGGCTTTTCAATAACCTAAATTCACAATTGCCCCTCCATAAAAGTCAGCTCTCGTGAGGTTATCTCCATCAACATTGATGTGCAGCTCAGATGTAGGAAATGGATTAGATTTTTATAAATATCTTGTCTTTTGTCCTGAAACATATTTCAAGTTTTGATCAACGTTGTAGTGCTCCCTTGAAATTAGTCTTTCTTCAATTAACCTAATCAATTTTTGCAGATTACACTTTCTCTTTCCAGAAAGGATATTGATTCTTTTGCTTAAAGTCTTCATTATTATTTAGGCAGATCCTTCTTCACTAAAACTATATTTGCATTGACCAGTTGTCTGATTGTTGAAGGTGGGAAAGTCATTGCATCTGGAAGAAATCGAACAACAGAGACAAGAAATGTAAGTTTATCAATGCATCAAATATTTTCCCCTTGGTTTGACTTTCTAACCTGCTTTCTATGATGTTCTTTGATTAGTTTAATCATCTGGAGGTCCCTCTAAATTATGTTAGTTTTGTGCATATAAATAGTTTTTGAGGAATCGTCTACTATATAATGAGCTAGCAGTACCTTGTAATTTAATAGCCACTTGGATGTTAATAACCAATCTCACCTCTATTAAAGTACTACTCAACTATGCTGATCCTGATCTTAGAATGTTGTTAATTTGAATCAAATAATAATAAGGCAGAAATCAGAAGAGCATTCAAATAGGTAGTCTCTAAAGCTTTTGCAATTTTTGAGTTTCTACTTCAATTTCTTATTGTAGGCCACAAGACATGCTGAGATGGAAGCAATAGATGTTCTTCTTAAGCAGTGGCAAAAAAGTGGACTTTCAACATTAGAAGTTGCTGAAAATTTTTCACAATGTACTCTCTATGTTACGTGTGAACCATGTATCATTTGTGCTGCAGCTCTATCTATTCTTGGTAGCCTCTTGTTTTGAAATAACGCTTTTCTAATGATTTTAAATCTAACATAGCTTTATTTTTTTTAATCTTATTACTACTTTTTCACTTCAGTTGTTCACTTGCTTAGGTATAAAGGAAGTGTATTACGGATGTGCAAATGATAAATTTGGAGGGTGTGGATCAATATTGTCATTACATTCTGGGAGCTTTCAACCACTTAATAGGTTCACTTCTACTTTTCTTTTGGGTTAATTATATCAGTGATTTTTGAAACTTGCTAATATTTGTTCGCACTTCTCTTTTGGGTTAATTATATTAATGATTTTGAAATTTGCCTATATTTTTATTTTAGTGTCTTCACTCCATTTTTCTATCCATTAAGTGTCTGGATGCACAAACTTTTTTCAGTTAAGTGCATTTGCCAAGAATTTTTCATCAAAATTACAATGGATCATTATGTTACATTTAAACTTCCATTCTACTTCTCTCTCTCTCTCTCTCTCTCTCTCTCTCTCTCTCTCTATTATGTTACATTTTAAACTTCCCCATTCTACTTTCTCTCTCTCTCTCTCCTCTCTCTGCGTCATCTCTCACTCTCTCTCTCTCTCTTCTCTACGTGCGTTTCTTTCTCACTTTTTTATTGTTTATTTCTCTCTCTCTCTCTCTCTCTCTCTCTCTCTCTCTCTCTCTCTCTCTCTCTCTCTCTATGGTTTCTTTCTCACTTTTTATTGTTATTTCTCTTTTTCTTTTTTTTCTTTGAAAAATGTCAAGATTCCTCTTAACACTTTTCCATGTTCTAAGATAATATCACATACAGTACAGGTAGCAGTAAATTCATATGTCATTTACTACATCTCCATGGACCATAATTAACAAGTTTTTTTGAGAGTTTCATCATATGCCATTGCAATACATAAATCACTTCATTGGTTCAAATTCTTATGGCACAAATAACAAAATCTATCCTGTTGATGGTAGAAGTTCTAGTTATTATAGTTGTAAATTAACTTGATTGTCAGGTTCCTGATGCAGGGATCCTAATTTTAAATGGTGGATATTTCCTTTAAAATCCATCTTCCTTTGTCGTGCAACTTAGGGCATGTCTAACATATCCTACATGTTTGATAATGACTCATCAAACATCACCCAAGAGCATGTTATTACAACCAAAATTCAACAAATCAATCATTTCATACAAAATCCGAAAATATACACATGATAGCATAAAGGCACAAAACACAAAATTAAGAGTAAGGTAAGTGTGTTTAATGAACACTAACCTTCAAAACAAGGTTTAGTAACTTTAATCAAGCTTCTTTAAGCTTTGAAAGCTTCTCAAGCTTTGGTCTTGCCCTTATCTTTGGTAGAAGGCTCTCCACCCTCTACATGTAAGAAACTCAAAATCAAAACAAAGAAAACAAATAGAAGAAGAAATTGGAACATGATTAAGCATGTATATGCTAAAAGAAAACTCTAAACCCAAACATGATGAGATTATCATAAAATCACTTACTTGACCCAAGTAGAAAAATCTCCAAATTCCTTGAAATTAGTTACCAAAAATCACTTCTCTAGCGTCACAACCATGTTGGATCACTAGACTACTAGTGACTTAATCCTAGCCATCCAAATTGGGGAAAAGATCAAAATAACCTTGTTGCTTTATATAAGTAAACCATTAATTATTGAGCAACCATTTTTCTTTCTTTTTCTTTTCCTTACACGTCTTCTTCTTCTTCTTCTCCTCCTCCTCCTCCTTCATTTTCTTCAATTCTTACTTACTAAACACATCAAATTCACTCCATCCAACTTGATTTAACTAATTAATCTTAGAGAGTGAAGCTAGAGAAGTGATTTAGAGAAGTGATTTTTAGTGACTAATTTGAAGGAATTTGGAGATTTTCCTACTTGGGTCAAGTAAGTGATTTTGTGATAATCTCATTATGTTTGGGTTTAGAGTTTTCTTTTAGCATATACATGCTTAATCATGCTCCGATTTCTTCTTTTATTTGTTTTCTTTGTTTTGATTTTGAGTTTCTTACATGTAGAGGATGGAGAGCCTTCTACCAAAGATAAGGGCAAGAGCAAAGCTTAAGGAGCTTTGATTAAAGCTTACTAAACCTTGTTTTGAAGGTTAGTGTTCATATGGTTCATAAACGACACTTACCTTACTCTAATTTTTTATTTTGTGCCTTTATGCTATCATGTGTATATTTATGGGATTTGTAATGAATTGGGATTTTGTATGAAATGATTGATTTGTTGAATTTTGGTTGTAATAACATGCTCTTGGGTGATGTTTGATGAGTAATTATTATGTGGTAGACCTTTTTACCTTGTGTCTTTGTTGTTCATGTTCTTTTCATGGTTGAAGAAAGCTGAATTTGGGAAAAATGTATTATTGAGTGAGATTAAGGACCATTTTTCAGTCCTTTCTAGTTTCCATTTGTGTCTGAGTCCTCCATAAAAGTTTTAGGTCTACTTCTCAGCTTTCCAACCCATCCTCTTGTGTCCAATTTGGAGATACATAGCTCAACTTATGATTGAAACACCCAAACTGACTGACTCTGTTATGTCGGGCCATATGCATCACTGAATTGAGTGCCCATTTTGATCACCATAATACAAGCTTAGGTTAATGATAGTTGTTGCCCTGTGTCTTGAGACTTCCTGGTTCCTGGATTGGTTTAATTGCAGTGGTTTGGTTACGTAGGAATTCACTAACCATTGGACTTGTTCTGGTGAATCAAGTCTAGTCTGGTCTGTTGGTTTTGTATTCCTACTTTTGTTTGCCTATCTTACAGATTTGGATCCTTGGGCTGTGGCCCTTCATAAACATTTGTAGAATTTTGGTCTTAGCTTTCCGAGACTGCATTTCCATTCGATTTGGAGACTGATAACTCAATTATGTCTTAAAAACTCAAACCAAAGGTCATGTTATTTTAAATGCTGAAATTTTCTATTGTAAGGTCATTTTGTTTAAGGTATGAGAATCTTTATGAATTTCTTAAAGTTTTATTATTATTTTTTAAGAAGATTAAGAGAAATGAAATTTATAAGAAATGTTTATGAAGTAAGAATTAAAAACAAGAATTTTTGGCTTCTATCATACTTGGTGTGGAATTTGTTTGCCATGATATGATTTTATTAATGTAAGATGAGTATGCTTGGCATTTTAATGTCCATTATGATAAGAATAGCCTATGATGCATATGTTAGGCACGTGGGTTTCTTATGTTTAGGGCGGACGCGCTCTATATTGTTATGATAAGTTGGCGACTAAGGCCATTTATGACTACACTATGAAAACTTATCTGCTTTTTTTTTTTCTAAGTGTAAAGTGAGCCCTTAGTAAACTATTTTAAAGGAAGAAATTAAATGAGATCACACCATGTTAATAAATCTTAGTTTACAATAACTTATTTTAATGATATCAAATGAGTTTCTAAAGCATGAATAGTGTTTAGTGTAGTTATGTTTTAAATGCATGTTTACTAAGTTTAATGATTCTATGTATATAAATGATTTATAAAGTTGTGGTTTGGTTGTGTTTTATGGCACCACTGAGTTTTTATACTAGGTTGAAAGTCTGTGTTTGCTGCTTGAAGAACCAGAATAAAGTAAGCATTAGAAGCTGAAGAGAATATTTTTGGTAGTTGATTAATGGCTGAAGAGAATATTTTGGTAGTTGATTAATGTTTACGTAACTAAGAATTATGGCATGTATTATTTAAACTAAGTATTATATTTTTGGAGACTATATTATTTAATTTATGACTTAAACATGTTATTGTACATAATTTTGGTGTATATATATTGGAGATAAGCTTGGGACTTATTTAATGGTTAGACTATTAGAAATTGATAAATTTAAATGAATGTATTTAATTTATGAATATTAAAATGTTATTGAGGAATTATGTAGTTATGAAATTATAGAAGTGCTATTGTGTTGGTATTGGAGTTTAAATTTGGGAGTGCTTTGTATTCATATGTTTGGCGACTTTTAGGGGAAATTGTTGCAGTTTTCTATAGGACTCTCCCAAATCATTTTCAAAACAAAATATTATTACTTGCTAAACTTGTGAATACTAAATCACTTCTAATTCATAATATGATTGTATGAATTTATATGTAGGTTAGGACGGTGCCTCCGGCACCGAATGTGGCATCCGTCGTTGGGTTTTTCGAGATTGGGCGGCAGGTGTTATATTTAGTGGTATCAGAGCATAAGTTTAGGCGGTTCTAGGACTATATGTATATATAGGAATTTATCTGTTTTGAAGTGAAAGTATGAGTATAAGTTAAATACATGCCATATTAGTTTGGTTTGGAACTTTTCTTTGATGGGAACCTTTTGGTCTTTGTAGGAGCTGAGTGATGTCTCAACATCTATCTGATGAGGAGGTGGATAGTTATGTCCCTCCTAGTGGTGGTATTCCTGTTGGTGATGCCGCTAGTGGTGCTGTCCTGTTGGTGATGCCGCTAGTGGTGCTGTGGGTACTGATGCAGAGCACGCCTCGAGGGTGGGGCAGGCTGTTGCAGGTCATTCTGGGCCTAACCGGGATACGCTTGTTCTGCAGTTAGTTGCTACTTTAAGGCAGGCAGCAGGAGCTGTTCCCCAGACTCCAATTGCTCCAGCCCTTATTCTAGTTCGTCCCCCTATTGAGAAACTGGGGAAATATGGAGCTGTTGAGTTCAGGGGTAGAAAGGATGATGTGGCTTCTGCAGCAGAGTATTGGCTCCTCCAGTCTGTGGAGAGGATATTGAAGCAGATGCAGTGCTCACCTCTGGACAGTTTGGTTTGTGCCACTTCCTTAGCCACTTCCTTATTGAGGGAGGAAGCTTACCAGTGATGGCATACGGTATCATTGACAGTCGGTGCTGAGCAGAGGACTTGGGACTTCTTTCTTTCTGAGTTTAGACAGAAATACATTGGGGAGCTTTATGTTGACCAACGTAAAGTCGAGTTTTTAGAGTTAAAACAGGGCGGAATGTCTGTGCTCGAATATGAAAGAGAGTTCATCCGGTTGAGCAGGTATGCTACTGAGATAATTCCTACTGAGTCGGATAGATGCAAGCCCTTCAGGAAAGGCTTGCATGATGATCATAGAATGCATCTAGTTGCTCATCCTCATACATCATTCTCTTCCCTAGTGAAGGCAGCTTTAGAGCTTGAGGAAGTTAGGAATGAGCAGCAGGCTAGGAGGCAACGGAGTCAGTAGGGTCAACAAAAGAGGTTTGGTTTTCAGGGTATTGGCATCTGGACCAGACTTCTGGGTGGCCTCAGTTCAGGTAGTAGGATGGCATAGAGGTTTCACCACAAGGACCTGCGTCTAGCCGATTCAGGAGACATGGGACAGTACTATGGTAGCAGCAGCTCCACAGGACCACATCTGTTGCTAGTGGTGGAGGTGCTGTCGTGGACCACATCTGTTGCTAGTGGTGGAGGTGCTGCGTGGATTGATATTCTGACATGTACTCAGTGTGGAAAGAAGCATCCTGGGGTTTGTAGGAGATTTCCAAGGCATGCTTTCGATGTGGGTTTATAGAGCATATGCTTGGAGACTGCCCTATGACTTTGGCTAGTTCAGCTCCTCAGGTAGGGAGATCAGCTCCCTTTGTTCCGAGAGGCAGAGGCAAAGGTCGTGGTGATACAGGAGGCATTGGGAGTCAAAGGCCAGTTTCAGAGACAGTGGAAAAACTTAAGTCCAGAGCACCTGCCAGAGCGTATGCTATCTGAACTAGGGAGGAGCAGGATGCCCCAGATATTATCGTTGGTACATTTTCTATCCTTGATATTCCTGTATATGCTTTGATTGATCCTAGCTCTACTCATTCGTATTTATGCATAAATGTGTGTAGATTAGGTAATATGCATGCTGATATGCTAGAACATAGTATTGAAGTTACTAATCCCTTAGGTCATAGTGTCGTAGTTAATCAGGTGTATAGAGATTGTCCATTGGTAATATATGGCCATGTGTTTTTGGGAGATCTGATAAAATTGCCTTTCCGAGAGTTTGATGTGATATTGGGTATGGATTGGTTATCTAGATATTGGTTGTGTCAACACTGGAGCCTCAGTAAGCATCGTCTTAGGCTTCTCAAAACTATTCTAACATTTATCATTCCACTCGAATCTGACATTCTTTCGAAGAAGTCTAGTCAATGGAGCCGCAATGAGAGAAAATCCCTTGACAAATCTTCTATAATAACCAGCCAATCCTAAGAAACTTCGAATCTCTGTAACATTCTTAGGTGGCTTCTCCTAAGAAAACTTTCGAATTCTCTGTTGTAAACATTCTTTAGGTGCGCTCCATTCAAGCACTTGCCTCTATCTTCTTCTGGACAACTCTAATACCCCTTAGCAGGAAAAATGTGACCCAAAAAAGCATCTAGACAAACCAAGAATTCACACCCTTACTCAAGCTTAGCCATTTACAGTTTGTCTCTCTCTCAATATTCTGAAGCTAACTATATTCTTCAAAAATATTCTCAAATGGTGATCATGATCCTCTCTAGTCCGAGAATATACCAAGATGTCATCAATGAACACAACCACAAACTGATCTAAGTAAGGATGAAACATTCGATTCATCAAATCCATAAAAACTGCAGGAGCATTTGTTAACCCAAACGGCATCACCAAGAATTCATAATGATTATAACGTGTCCTAAAAGCAGTCTTAGGTACATCTGATTCCTTAACCCCCGGCTGGTGATAACCCGATCTCAGATCTATCTTCGAGAATACACTAGCTCCTCTCAACTGATCAAACAAATCGTCTATCTGAGGCAATGGATACCGATTCTTCTCTATCTGAGGCAATGGATACCGATTCTTCACAGTAACTTTGTTAAGTTGTCTGTAATCAATACACAATCTCAATGATCCATCCTTCTTCTTTACAAACAATACTGAAGCACCCCATGGAGATACACTCGAATGAATAAAACCTTTATCAAGCAACTCCTGAATATGTATATTTAACTCTTTCAACTCAACAGGCGCCATCCGATATGGAGCAATGGATATCGGTGCAGTACCAGGCATAACCTCAATACCAAACTCAACCTCTCTCTCAGGCGGTAAACCAGGCAACTCCTCTGGAAATACATTCGGAAAATCA